TTGAGTCATAAGGGTTTTGAGATACTCTGTATCTAATATTTTGTAATAAATATTGCTACCCAAAGCAACTTCATATCAAATTTTCTTAAAATAAGTGTCACAGGGAAGAGCTCTGCCTTATAATTTAAACTATTTCACAGCATTTTTAGCATAAATCAGGTACAATAAAATATTATCTGCATAAAAAGGCTTTATTATCGGATAATGGTAGAATAAAAAGCGTTGGAGGGATTTTATAACTGAGTTGACCCCACATGCCGAATTTGTTATTTTCAAATATAGCTTTATTTTCCAAGGGAAGTACCTGCAACACCATTTTCTAGCAGATAAAACTAACATTAATCTACATAAGGAACCTACCGCAATTGATATTAAAGGAATATTTTTTAGGCATAGAGGAGATTCTGTATAAGCATCACAAAGCCTATACTTCACATCTCCCAAGCTCAGAAATGTTTCATAACCTTGACAGTGCAATTAGAAATGCACAGTTAATCAAGCCAGTCTTCATCTCACTAACCAGTATAGCACAAACTCCAGTGAGAGTCTGGAATTCAGTATCTTCCATATGTATAAGAAACCTTCAGTTGCTGTGCCTTATGCCAGCACAATCTCTTTGTTCTCAGTACCAAACTCACAGGTTAAAGGTATTGTGGGGTTAAAGTTATTAAACAATAAGAAGAAATTATTAAGAAAAATTTGAAATATCCTTTGTTTGCTCTACATGTGGAGTTTCAGGCAGATTCTTATTAGCTTTGATGTAAATAAAAGCTAACAAGAAGAGCATGGAAAAGTCATATGATTTTCCAGGGTGTTTTCAGGACTCTCTGAATTATTTTCAGTTTTAGCAGCCTGTAAACTGGGAGTCCCTAGAGCCTGGCTCAGGTCTTCTGGTCGCCCAATGAAAAAAGTGTGAGACGGTTGCTGCCTTAGTGTGTCAGACTAAGATCTGTCACCTCATGTATGATGATCCAGGAGCACTCTGCTTGGTATAATTAGTCAGAGGCAAGGGGTCCTGCATCGTGTGGTTTCCAAATTAATTTCCACCTGACATCTTCACACAGAGGGACCCTGTTGTAGAGCACATGACAGTCCAGCTGGCCATAGAGGCAACCTCATTCCTCCTGGTCCCCTGCAGTCCCTGACAGACCTAGAGGAGCCAGCAATTTCATGGAATCACAGAATATTCTTAGAAAGGGACCCAGAAGGATTATCAAGTCCAACTCTTAAGTGAATGGCCCCTAGGGGATTGAATCCCAAACCCTGGTGTTATTAGTACTGCTCTCTAACCAGCTTAACCAACTGAGCTAACCCCAGGGTCAGTTTCCAGATCTCTGTCTTCAGATTGGAGATAACCCACAGATTCTATTTGCTTCCTGGTGGCTGCCACTGCAGAGTTTTGCTTAAGCCTTTCCTCCTGCCCAGGTGTCTGGCCACACAACTTGTAGTGTATATGGGCAGGGTGGATGCCTCTTGCTCCTTACTGCATATTTTGGATGCTGCACAGGCAGTGCCAGAGGAAATGGAGATGACAAAGATGGAAAGATCTGTCTTAAGCACAGAACTATTGTGTTCTAATGTAAGTAAAAACTGTTGCAGTAATGGATGTCAAAAACATAAATTAAAACAATTTTTAATAAACATACTTTAGTAGAACATATGTTTTTTGTAGCTGTGCTTGCACTCTTTTTCCTTCTTTGTCCATTTTTTCCTATATCAAGTGAAATCTTAAGTGAATTTTTTTTTACATTGTCCACATATCTGAACACCCAGATCTCACATTACTACAAAGTGAAATAAATGATTGCTGGCAAGTGATGATTTTCACTATCTGTGAAGTATACATACCAGAATCTCTTAGTTCTCTGCAAGCTTTCAGTTGGATTTAAATGAGCTGGCACCTCTCTCAAAACCCCTGGCTTTTTTGGGGTTCTCGTTGCTTTTTTTTTTTTAAATTTGATTTTTTCTGTCCAAAATTGGAGGCAAGTCAGGACATGTCTATTTTTAATAGCTGTGACATCCAGTCCCTCAGGGAAAAAACATTATTTATTATTCCAAGTAATTTCCTGGCTGCTGAAAAACAGAATAAAAATAATTATAAAAATGTGACTTATAAGTTTCTCTGAATCCCAAGTGTGTATCTTTCTTAGCCATCTATTCTCTCTCCTCTACAATCCCACTTGCACTACACTACACACAGAACCCACCTGCAAACTTCAAGTTAAGGGTATCACATACCTCCTCATATAGGGCGATCTTCTACATCCTAGTTTTCCAGCTTTTAAATTGTATCTTCTATAGAGAAGTTACTAGAAAGTTCCTTTACCGGTTTACCACTCTCTGGATTTACTGTTCTTTCAGTACTCTCAGCAGTTAGAAAAATCCTTTTCTGAGTGCAGCAGAGGAACCGAGAAATTAGTTAAATGACTTGGTCTGGACTGTACAAGGACTCTGTCAAAAATTAGGATATGATACTGTTAAATAATACTGTAGAGGAATACACTACTGAAACTGAACTCCCAGTTTAAACTGACATATCCTACAAACAGGCACCATGTTACAAGAGCAGTGCTCATTAAATGATAGATTGAAAGTCAGTTTCCAAGTACCAGAGCAGCACATTCTCCTTGAGCCTTCCTTGTTACTAAGCTGTGAATCACTTATATCCCATCAATAACCTGTTGTTGAAATAAAAAACTTTTCCTTGTTAGATCAGACAGTGGCATTACACAAATTTTATATTGTCCTTCACATTTTATTTTGCAGACAAACACGACTACTTAAATTACCTTGATCTAACATGCCATCTCCAGAACAGAAGGTATAGTACTGAAAGGTATAATGCATCTGCAGAAGGTATAGTACTGAAAGGTACAATACATTTGCAATACAGGGAATGTTTATTTTAGGTATTAAATTAAATGGTATTAACATAGAGTATGAAAAATATTGCCCTGTTCTTTACAAAATCTTTCTTGAAGGAACAACTGTAAGAATGCATTTCAGATTTTACAGCTTATGTCAAAGTATTAAATGTTGTATTAAATTATATTTTGGAAAATATGAAGTTTGTTCCACAAAATATATAGATTTTATATTATTTGGGGCATCTCAGGTATGTTTAATTACTTATATTTCATAATGCAAAGTCAATTCTTGTTGGACCTTAAATAAGCAGGAGGTTAGCAGAATTAACGAGTGCTACAAGTCAAATTTTATTACAAAGACTACTTTTCATTTGCTGATTGATTGGGGCAAAATAGCCATTACACTCAACATGACAAGAAAACAGAATGATTTAGTGGCAAAGAAATAGGTGGAAAAGTATTTCAGGGGTGTGGATGTTTTAAGAAAGATTAGAAAGATGGCATCAAAAGCCAAGGGAGGTATGAAAGAAACATCACATTCAGTCAAGAAGAAATCAGAGCAGTAGAAAAGTCATAATTTTTGATACTTTGATCAAGCAGCACAGAATAACAGTTGTGCCTAGAAGAACAAAGAATTCTTGCACCTGCAGAAAGAAAGAAAAAGAAATAATAGCAACACAGCATCTTCCTGATTAAAAAAAAGTCAGTGTGGGTGTCCTTGAGAATATTAATTGAGATCTCTGTAAAGGTCATGGTCCAGAAACTATGGAAACAACGTAGATCTAATGACAACAAACCCATTTTCTGAGTTAGCACCGTACACTGGACATACCACATATTTTTCCCTTTTTCTTCAGGAGTATTTGTTTGAAAAGCTTTTGTGTAAGCTGTGGCAGAGCTGTGAGAGTTGGAAAGAGCATCCCTCCCCACCGTGGTGCTCTGGCACTCTGGCCATAGCTGGGGCTGCCCTTTGGCTGCAGGGAGGGACATGCTGGCACCAGTGCCATGCCCCAAGGGGTTCTAGGGCCACATGGTGAGGACCAAAAATTTGGGATGTATGGATCCTGCTATGACATTGAAAGGCAGCCACTCTCATGGAATAATGTTTGTATTCAAATGAGAGGCATTTTTCTTCCTAAGGTTATGTAGTACATTGAGTGATAAATATTGGTCATGGGGCTTTGCCTCCTATAGAGAGTTTGCTGAGGTCATAATTAAGATCATGAACACAAGGTGAAACAAAAAAAATAGGACTTCAAAGAAAAAGTACATTTCCTAGGACAGGCTCCTGGGTATTATGGAGAATTAAATTCTGAATGAAACTGCAACAGAAAAATCAAATAAAGCCTAGGTTTTGTAGACAGAGGAATGCATCATTTATCACAGTATATTTTTAAAGGAAAGGCTTCAATAGCTCACAAGAACAGGGTCACCACCTTAATGCTGGCTGACTGAAGCTACTGCATTACTATCATCACAGATCACTTTTGCCCCAAACAAGTTTTAATGCATTGTAATGTGGGAATTAGCCGCTGCTTTCTGATAAGGAGCAAGTCACCTTCTATTATCAGGCATCAAATCATTTTAGTATTTTGCTGATATCTTCTTTTCGTCTGCAATATGCCAAAGAAAATAGTTTCTCTGCCTGTAGAGTGGAAAGAAAATGTGCCTGAATAAGAAAGAGATAAAAATGGATACAAAAATTAGCCCTCGAGGACAGTAGATTTCCCTAGACCTTGCTAAGAACTCAGACACAGTTATATTTGGCTTTGAGTACTGAAGCCCAAGCTTATTTTCAGAAAATGATAGATCCTATTCAAAGAGCTTAAAAGATGGCAAAGATATTTAAAGGAAGACAACTGGAATATGATCATGAGGGTGTGCCTTATGATTCCTTATGATCCCTTATGTCCCTTATCAGGGACTGAAGGATTTATGGGTTACAAATTCAGCTTGTGCATATATATATATATATATATATATATATATATAGTAGACACTCAAGCACACAGCTGGTGCACTTGGTGTCCTTTCGAAACAAAGGTTGCTGTCATGCAATAGGACAGGACAGCAGGGATGCTGGGGAGCATCATTTTAATATGGACACAAGGTCTTCCACTACCATAGCTCTGTGCATTTTTATGGCACATTCAAAGTTAGACTGCTGGTAATCTGTCAGTTTTTTCATATGTGTCAAGGCTGTTGATAGAGATCTGCTGCAAGTTTCCTCTTAACCTATCCATCAGTTAACAACTGTCACTCTCCACTATTATCTCTCTGTTTTCAATTACTCAGTGTTATGTCCTACTAATGGATAACACTTAGTAAAAAGGACAGGAAAGTTTGCATTTAGTAGTTATGATTCAGTAGTTGTGATTGACAGAACCAATAGGCAAACTCTTTGCTGTGTAAGAAAAAAGCTCAAGCTGAAGGTTTAGAAAACTCTCCCATAGAAAATGCCTTCAAGTCTACCCATGTATAGATGAGGATGGCAACATGTCCTTCATGCTGAGTGATAAAGACAGAGGAGGTGTGTCTTGCCTTCCCACTCTTGTCAGGTTTTCTAGATTGAAATTCTCTTCTACTGCAATATGTATTTAAAGACTGGTCCTCCAACGCAACAAAACCACAGGTTCAAGTCAGACACCCTCACTCTGCAGGTCCAGTTTCTGAAAAGGAATTTCAGCTTGTTTATCCCAAATGCAGCTGCAGTGGACTCCCTCCTGACTCATAGTCACAATAACAAGACTGAAAGAGAGATGAGCAGCAGAGCTGGAGCCATGGTTTCCATAGAAGGTTGTCCCATGACAGCTGGTTAGGAACAGCATGCAGGGATCTGGTGTGGTTGTCTACTGCTTGGTGCACAATCCTGAGGATTTCGTAGAAATGGCTCTCAGTTTCTGGAGTCAGTGGGACTTTCTCTTCAGGGTCTCTGGACAGATCGAAGAGCAGTGGAGGATCATGTCGTGTAATGAATCCTCCATGGCAGAAGCAAACGTGAGAATCATAGCAACCACTGGAATCCTCAGGACTGAAGTTTGGAGTGAAGAAGAACACTTTCCAGACAGATTCACCTGCAATTTACAGCCACAAAACAGCTGGTGATAAAGTGATAAAATGACATAATGGAAGTCCCTTATCTTAGGAAATTCCACCAACATGGCAAGTCAGTCTTTTAGTAAAAAGACAGTACAGACACTCTGTAACAGAGACTGCACCACACTGAAAGAGTAAAACAAGATTGAGCAAAGCAAAAATAAGCAAAATATGGTGATTTTTATGCTACACATATTAATGAAACAACTATGATAATTTCATTCCCATGGAAGAATTCTGATTAACTAAATCATAGAATACTTTAAATAATTTTGTGTTTTACAATAAACAGTACTAAGAAGATTTGCAGAAATATATACTAAATCTTCTTCAAAGCTTATTAAAATGTATTTTTGCCCCTTGACCATATTTACCCACTGATGGGCCCCATCTGCTTCTCATTTTGCTGATTGAAATAATTTCATTGTTACCTTTTCTCTCTCTTCCTCTCTTTGTTGCATTAACCCATTGTCCTCTGCCCCATTTCTTCATTGTAAACATCTGGATACTCATTTTATTAAATGGGATTACATGAAAAGGCATAATGGGTGCTAAATTCCTGTCTTACGCTTCTACATGATTTTTCCAAATGTAAATTATAAATTATAAATAACATTTACAGTAGGAAAATTCTTAGGTGACATTCTGCTTTGCAAAATGAGAACCAAAGTTCATTTATAGATTGGTCATTCTCAGTTTAATTTTCTCTGCAGAGAAAACTGAGCTGTCCATCCTCATGTAACTTCAGTTTGTGTTTTCACTGTTTGAAAATCCTAGTTGTTTCTTGGAATATTAATAAGAAAATATCAGTTAGTTCTTTCAAGAAGCAGTCTCAAACAGGTCTGTGAAGATCAAGAAACACTTAACAAGAAAGATGTGAACAAAAAAGTTGTTACTATTTTCCTCAAGTATCACAGAACAAATAGGAAAGGCAGAAACAGAATAGAACTTCCAGGGAAGCATACCATCCTCCTACAGCCAGTGAAGTATATAGTTCTTCAGAAATGGAACAAAGAATAATTAATTAGAGTAAGAAACATCTGTATTTTATTCTTAATAAAAGCAGATTATTAAACAACTGAGATCTATAATGTCAGATTTCCTGTCCACTTGAGACTATAAAAACATTGGAAAAATGTAGTCATTGGTAATTTACGTTTCTCAGCACCCTACTGTGAATTTTCTTTTTATCACCTCATGTTTTTAAATACTGAGTGAAAAATCTCTTTCTGATATTTTGTTAAATTTTGTTAAGGTCACAGAAAGCTTGTTAGCTTAGTAACAGACTTTCAAAGACTTATGTGTGCTACAGTAGTTAATATTTATTAATCAGACCATCAGTACAACAAAATTAAAGGCACTAGAAAATATGGGATGGCTAGAGCAAAGATAAACTGGTATATGCCATGCTGTACCTACATCACACTCAGCTTTTAAAGAAAAAAAAAAAAACAAACCAAGTTTAAAGAGAAATGCTTCAGCAGACTAAGGAGTCACAGGCTGCAGTTCTAGACAATAGCATGGATTTAAAGGACAGTAGGTGACCTTAAGATTCTTTACAGCTTCTTCTGTTCCACAGAATTTTTCACATTAGAAGTGATTTTACCTTTAGGAACCAATTCAATGACAGAGCCTGGGGACTACCAGTTCACTTCATCTCCACTTAAATCGGGGTCGGATAGGCGATGGCTATTATACACATTAGACTGGGAGAACCCTCTAAATGCTTCTTGGAAGTCAGCAAAGGGGAAGAACTTTTAAAGGCTGAGTGACTTGCTGGCACAGACAATAGGATGTGGCAGGTTTTAAAAGGCTCTGGCTGTGACAGCCTCAATGGCACAGTCTTACTGGGAAAAAAATGAAAGGAAATTTAAAGGAAGGCAAAGCAAGAGAAGGCCAGGTGACATAAGATGGCATTCCTTCATCTACCTCCAGTAACATTTTGAAAGGTTGGTCTGGCACTTGAATCTCTTGTTTTCTTAGAAATAAAATAAACAAAATCAAATACTGCTACTTAAATTTCTTTGAACTTATGCACAGAACATTTCCAAGAAATATACCTATTGTTTACTGAGATTTAGAATTTGCATTCTGAGAAGGCATGAAATTCCGTACTAAGCATTGTTTCAGGCTCCTTAGACATGTTTAATTGGCAAGATAGATGGTGAAAAACATAAAGAGCCAAAGGGCTTGATCAGTCAGTGCACTGTACACCATTATAGACCATGCAACACTTACCATACCTGAGAATTTGATTCCCAGCACTATAGCAACTTGACAGAAGACCAACAAAAGAAAATTATATGTCTACTAAAATGTCAGTTAAAAGACATTCCAATTTAGCCATGCACAGGAAAACTTTGTGGTCAAGCTGTCTTACCACACATTGGTCTTTCATGGTACATTTGTGCTGAATTAAATTGAAAAGAAAATTTTCATCCACTTTTTTTGGTGCTGGGCATTGTAGCACCAGGTCTGCTCAAGGGCTTACAGATAGCAGTACAAACTCGGGTAGTCCAAATTAATGGAAGTTGGTACAAGCAGCCCATATAGGTAAGGAATAGGGAAAAGAAAAAAACAAGGAAGTTGCACTATGCTTTTTTTCCCACACAAAATAAAGACTTGTTTAGGTTTTGATATATGAAGAGCATACAGCATGTTGAAAAATCATGCGTGGGTTTTGGGACAAGACATGTGTGACATCATCTCATGTCTGAGTGACATTGCTAGTGTTTTGAAGAGCTGATGGTACTTTATCATCAGATAAGCAGCTATAGAATGTCATGATTATACAGTGCAAAACACTGAGCTCTGGGAGTGCAAAGCCTGTTACCCTGCAATGTTTATCTGTTGCACTGCAGCAGTGCTCCTGGAACTAGAGAAGCAGCAGCAGACTCTAAACACCTATTTCCTAAGCATTATAAAAACTAAAACCTCTCTGTCAGTGGCTGTGGCTGTGGAGCAGCCAGTGCAATATACCAGAAGACATTAAGAACTGTCAGACTTCTAATCATCAGTAAAGCTGATGAACTATATAAGGCACAATATTAAAAAGAGAGACGTCTCTTCCAGTCTCTCAGCTGATATAAAATCTCATTTTGTAAGAAGGTTAACTACAAGGATCAAATTAATCTCCTAGTAATTAATGGTACCTGTGTTCTCCAAAGCATCTGGATACTAAACCCTTGTTATATAAAAAGATAAGGGAATGCCTCTTCCACAGTGAAGTTAGTAGTAAAATTGTCAGGGCTTCCCCAAAGCCAAGTATATCAAGCCCCTTCTGAAACCATAGGCAGGCTCTAAGCCTGTAGCACCCTTAAAGGTCCTGTCCCAGTGCTTCACAAATGATTTCAGTCCAATTTTCCTGCAATTCTCAGTTCTCTGAGCTGTCCAATAAGTTTTCTCTCAGAATACCTCTTTCCTTTACATGTTAAAAAAAACAAATACTAAAGAAGTCGTACTTCTGAATAGTTTCAAATTAAGATAGGTTGCCATTAGTCCAAGCAAATCTGCTATGAACATAGCTATTCAGTGTTCAATCTCCCTAGAAGACTCCTTTCATTATCCTTAACCCAGTTATTTATCCTCTCAAACAGACAATAGTAGCTCTAACAGACCGGCAGAGGCCATGAGATTAAATAAAAGTCTCTCAGTAAGATATATTAATATATTCAAGATGAAGTGACACACTGGATAGGGATGCCATTTCTGTTATAAATGCACCCTTCTTAATCATTTATGGCTAACTGGTGTTTTCTGATAAGCAGTGCTTGAATGAATAGAAGCTATTGTTGCATTATTGCCTGGGACTTAATTTTCACTGAATTTAATCTATCACAGTAGCTTTACAGGTTTGCAGCTACTGTAATTTCCTTTTTTCATATTATTGTGTTGCCTCTTTCTGTAGAAGAACAAGTTAAACAGGACTGTTCTCCACTGTACATTGGGGAGCTAGTCCCTGCTTGAATTCAGATGCCTCTGACGGGAGCCATTTGGGTGTAGCAGACTCAAAATCATAAATTGAGACAGACTTTTCTGTGTCTCAAGTGTGCTCTGTAGCCATTGTCAACTCCCACACTCTAACTCATGCTTCTCAACATTTCTACAAGGTAGCAGATGAAAACTGCAGCTCACTTGAAAATTACTTTCTTCAGATAACTCTTGTTATTGGATTGAATCCGTTCCTCCTGCTTCCTCTAACTTCATTCAGAATTTTTAGGTTCTCTGCTAATCTTATTCATAGCAGATATCACATATATTCAGCTCTTTGATAATTTAACAATGTAGAAAAGGCTTCAGTTCTGAAATTCTTGTAGAACTATATATAGGTCTATATAACAAAGACAATACTATTTGGTTACTATAATGAAACTATACATATTATTTTATCACATTAAATATGCCATTTGAATTTAAAAATATGTAACTTTTTTGTTCTTACAATGAAAGTGTCTTTTTTTTTTTTTAGATATTTGTTTTAAGAGTCTGGGTATCTTATATTGGATGTATATCTGGGTGGTATATTGTTAATCAGTCAAAAGACAGCACATCTTGTCCCAGTGTCAGTGGAAAATAACTGACTGATATTCAAAGACACAATGTTGATTTACAACAATCAGTTCTTGCTAGAAGAGGCTTGCATAAAAAACTGTGCAGAATTTACAGTATTTGAGTGAAAACCACGAAAAAAACAGCAGTAGTGATTTTAAAATATTTAGAATAAAACCTACGGTGTTAAGTATCCACTAAACCAGAAAGGATTGCACGCTCCTGAATATCTAATAGCCACACTGAACAACTGCTGCAGGAAAAATAGAAGACACACTGAATCCATGCCCAGATTGCTGATGACAGAAATCTCATGACTGAGTTCTTTATCTAGAGTAAATGCTATGGTATGAGAAACTTCTACTGAATTCTGTTCAAAAGTCAAGATTATCTGTTGAATTGTAGTAGATTAAAAAGAATTATTTTCCTG